CGTGGTATCTACTACTATAGGCTTTTACGGTTTTCCTTAAACATTATAATAACTAATTAAGATAAGCTATTTATCTTTAAATTTTAAAAATACCTTATAGAAATTATAGAGATTAACTAAGGGTTATTTATAGTATTTTATTTATAATTAAATAATTAGACTAAGATTCTAAATTAATTCCTTAAAATATACTTAAGAAATTATATTAACTATTACTAAAATAACTAAGTAAAATAACTACTATTAGTATAATAGGCTTATAATAACTCTAAAATTAAAAATATAAAAATATTATTATTTAAAGTAGATTATAGCTTTAACCCTCTTATTAAAATATATTTAGTATAATAAGTATATATACTAATAATAATAAACTATATAAATAAAATTATAAAAATATAAAAATACTTATAAAAAGAATAGATATTTTTATAAAATTATATAAAGTTTTATATAAATAAAAAGAAATTGTTAATACTAATCTTAAAGAAGGGTAATAAAGTTTATCTAAATTATAAAAATATTAAGATAAAATAACCTAATAATAAACTTAATTAGAAGAAAATTAAACTATTCCTTATTAAATAAAAACTATTAAATACTAACTATAAACTATTATTATTAGAAAAAATAAGAATTTATCTTATATTTTATATATTACTACTTAAGAAAATACTAGATAATATAATACTTTATATAAATATTATAATTAATATAAATAAGGAATATGAGGTTAAGAAGATACTTAAGGTAAAAGAGAAAAATAAAAATTATTATTATTTTATTAAATAAAAAAGATATTTAAACTTTAAAAATATATAAAAACTACTTAAGAACCTAATTAATTATTTAAAGCTACTTAAGTAATTTTACTTTAAAAGAATATATCTTAGTTAATTTTATAGTTATTATTTAAAGACCTTATATTAAACTTAGCTTTAAAAGAATAAGCTAAAAAAGGATCTTACTTTTTATTTAAAGTAAGGAGAATACTTATAGCTTTTTAAAGCTATTTTACTTTCTCTTATTCTATATACTCTAACTCTTTAATATTATTAATATTATAAAAAACTATATATAACATAGTTAATAAGTAAATAGCATAGATAAGTAAG